CTACTCCTACTGCTACTGCGACTGCTACTGCTACTGCTACTGCTACTGCTACTACTGCTACTGCTACTGCTACTGCTACTGCTACTGCTACTGCTACTACTATTATTATCATTATTACAACAACTACTTCTTCTTCTTCTTCAACGATGACTACTTCTACGGGGACGACGCCGACGCCGACTGCGAACACCACCAACAGTCAGTCATTGTCGCGAAGTCATCGCTATCGATGCCCAAGTCCATATGGTCGCTGTCGTTCCCAGAACCATCACCCCGAGTCCGCTGATTGTGAATGATGTTGTCGCGGCCATCTTGCTGCCAGGTTTCTGCTTCCAAGGCCTTTGCCCCAGCGCCGCGCTCGCCGGGCTCCATCCTGGTTCCGTACATGAGCTTCAGCGTGCTCATTTGGTATGCATATTCAGTTTTGAGGGTCTGTCATCTTGCTTGCCGAGAATCCGAGCATCACTTTGGAAACCTATACTTCCAACAAGTACACCTTAAACTTCTGAGGGTATCATAAGGGCGCATTACAACAACGGCGCTAAGAGCCTACCATGCGGGTATTGTGAGGGTACTAGAACCCTAAACTCTAAACCCTAAACCCTAAAACCCTAAACCCTTATAAGTCCCATCCTAGATTTAGGGAAAGGCCTAGACCTGAACTCGTAGAGCGAGTTCCGGGCTTTAGGGTTTAAGTGGCTTAGGGTTTTCTAGGGTTTAGAGGACTCTAGCGTTGTACGGAGTAGGGTTTAAGGCTCTAGGTTCTAGAGTTTTTTGGCTTCAGAAGTGTGGGTTTGGGTTCAATGCTTTAGGTGTTTGTGGCTTCAGGCTCTTGGGGTGCGGCTTTTAGGGTTCAAGGCTCCGAAGTTTCAGAGGTGGGGGTGTTGTCCATAGGTTTAGGGTTTATAGGTTTTAGGGTTTGGGGTTTCCGGTTTGGGGGCTTCAGGGACAGGATGCGAGGGTCTCTCTGACCAAGCCGTCCTGACTTGTTGCTCTGTTTCCGAACATTAAAGACCTGCACCCCAGGTGATTGCAAATATTTCCAGTATCTCCCTGGCCATTGTCATCCCGCCGCAAATCTTCAGAAACCTTGCACCCTAAACTCTGACACCGAAGACCCAAAGAACCGAAGGCCAGAAGCGCAAAACAAAGCAAAGCCCTGAAGCCCTCTGGTACCCCTATATAGTTCTCGAAATTAGGGTCCCTATTTAGGTCCCCAAGAGAGTACGGCACCCTTATAAGAAAGGACCCTGAAAGGGATCCTAATCTTGCAAGCCACCCATATTACAGAAACCCTAAGCCCTAAACCTATGCAGCCCGACACCGAAGCCTTAAAGCACGCCGCAGGTCGCAGGCGAAACCACGGAGCCAGCAAAGACGAACGGCCATGGTCCAGGCAACTAACTGGGTAGTTCCCAACAATATAGAAGCCTTGAATGATTACCTATACTATTTTGGGGGGGGGTCCTCATTATAAATATAGGGTTTATAGGGCTTAGGGTAAATAATTACCTATAGTATTTTGGGGGTTCCTTATTGTAAGTCTAGTACAAAGGGCCCCAAAACCCTCTTCTAATCATTAAGGCCTCTACATTAAGTAGGGCTTTTTGTTATAAGGGTTTGTGTAAGGGTCCCGAGAAGGGCTTCTAGGAAGGCTTCACGTGGATTTCTGTAAGGGCTTACAAGTGCTTCTAGTATGAATGAGGATTCCTAGCAGGGTCCCTGGAAGAAGGGTTTTCCTTGAAACCACCCCGAGATAACAATCCTCACGTCTGGAATGGAGCATGATCCTTCGTTTGGGGGTCCCTGTTGCAATATGCAAGCAGGAGTCGGAGTAGATTGTATGACTATCTAGTCACAGCATCATTCACAAACCTGCGATACTACTTATACGTACTATCCGAACCCTAAACCCTAAACCCTAAACCCTAAACCCCAAACCCTATTCACACTGCACATTCAGGCAGCAGTTCAAGCTCCCCGCTTGTCATCAAGCCAGCTAAACCGTGTCTTCGAGCCCTCCTCAATGCACAAACAAGCTCTACGTCCGGCTTGAAGCCCGACGCCCTAACCTGGGTTGCTGTTAAGGCACTTAGTTTAAGTTACCATAATAATAGGTCAATAGGGATCTATGGTAAATAGTATGATGACCTTATTACAGAAACATAATTTAAATCACTTAAAAATAACCCCGTAACTCCCAAGAAGAGCTACGCCTCAAAGTCGTAGGACTGTTTTCCGGTGCAGAGGCCGCTGTGCCTACGCCACTCTCCTTTACGGAAGTGGGGTTGCCACCTCAGTGGTCATCGTGTGCTCGGACGGTTTTCTCGCCTGGAGAATAGAATTTTACAATTTACGGCAAAAGTTTTTCTCCATTTGTTTCTGACCTTTTCTATGAGATGTAGGACGTTCCGATGCCTGATGACTCAAGCACGGAAGTGCACCCCAGGCAGACCCGACGTGCAGGGAGTTTTTTTGCAACTGTATAGGCTTTAATGCTTAGGTTTGTTTTTGGTTTTGGGCCGGGGCTTGGGCTTTCTTGACCTACAACTCTGCTTATAAAGCCTATGTACAAAGCGCCTGGAGTCTCCGAGCCCTAAGCCCTAAGAAACCTACATTCTTGGGATTCCTTCTTATGATTGTCTTTCTGTGAGTCCTTAAAACCGAACCCTGCACTCCGAAAAATTCCCAGACCCCATGAACCCCAGGACCCGAAACCCTACAACCAATTGCTGGGTTCTGGTTTAAGGGCTGTGAATTTAAGTTACTAGAGATAAGGAAGCCTTACTATGTACTTTAGATCCCCATTATGGCAACTTAAACTAAAATCCTTAACAAGAACCCACCCTAAACCGTAAACCCTAAACCCCAAACCCTAAACCCCAAACCCTAAACCCTAAACCCTAAACCCTAAACCCTGTTCTAGGTGGAATACTTCCTCGGGGCTTTGGTCTTGGGCCGGCCTCCTGGGCGGCGGGAGGGCGAGTTACGGAAGCTTCAGAGTTCGGCTTTGAAGGGCTTTTTAACGACCTTACAAGGGTTTCATACTGTTGATGTAATGTAACTCCTGCATTACCTTAAGGGCCCTGAAATAGGGGATTGATGGTATATTGCTCATTATGGGTAATGCAGGGTATACATCATCAACCGTATAGACGCCTAAAGAATTATCCATCTTATCCCTTAGGGTTCCTCATCATATCTATACTACAAGGGAGCCCAAACCCTACTCTAATTATGCAGGCTCCTATATAGTATGCTAAGGTTTTTGTAAGAGTCTTGCAAGGAGTCTTGGTTAGAGGTGTTGTCCTCGGGCTTTCGTCTGACTGAAGTCTCAACTGTAATACATGTTGTGCCTGCTTGGTTTTGTGGTCCGGACGTTAAAGTAGCATCCACATGATCTAGAGTTGAGGATCTAGTTCTGCGTGCGCCTGTATGTCGACTTGAGTGTTGAGCTTTGGATAGTTTGGGTCATGACTTCCCAAGCTTACAGGTGCATGGGTTGCTTCAAGTATATATGGCTACAAAAATCATTTCCTTTCTATAGGCCATGTATGGCTACAATTGCCTCACCTCCCTCACATGGAGACCCACCCTGAGAACTACCAATCGAACTTCAAGGAGGTTCTGTGGATCCTAGGCGCATGCGATTATTGTTCAGGTAGTCTTCTGTAGCCCTTTACATCAAATACTCATGGCCTTCTTATCACCCCTGAAAAGTTTCTGCATTACAGCATTTCCCTTCTTGAGAACTTGCGTAGTATAGGGGCCTAAATAATTACCAATACTTTGTTTAGGAATGCCGTATTAAAGTTGTAGTATATCAGACCCCATAACCCTATTCTAACTATTCAGGCCCCTATATTACCCTAAACCCTAAACCTGCGAATACTTTCGCCTGGCAGGATGAGCCTGAACGCACCTCCCGTCGTAGGTTTCATAGCTTTTGTTCCACTGATTGCCACCTTAGGTCGGGGGCCTTGGTTTCCGGCTTGAGCCCGATATAACCCTAAGGCTCAAAACAGCTCAAAAGCCTTATGTAGTATGGTCTTTGGGCCCAAAAGCCTTTGCATATGAGTTCTTAGAGTCTACAAGGGTAACAATGTAAACCCTGACAGCTGTAATGCCCTTTGCCGGAACAACTAAGCCTTCAACCCTAAGCTTAGCCCTAGACCCTTCCCTAAACTAGCACAACCTTCTTATTGTAGGTTGTTGTTTTAGACCCGAATATGGAGTTTATAGGGATCCTGCAAAACAGTAGGTTGTTGGTTGTAAATTAGACAGACCCTATCACCCCTTCCCATCCCCTTCCCTAAGGGCCCATGTACCCAAATACGATGTACCTTGGCCCTAAAGGACCTAAAGAGGGACTACTTGAAAGGCCAAAGTATATACTATTTGGGTGCAAGGACCCTTGGGGCTTACAGAGGTTGGTCGTTGCGGGCACGTGGTTGCGAAGCTGAGCGTTTGTTGTTGCACACGGAGGACCCTCACTGACACCACTGAAGTTTAGGGTTCAGGGTTCAGGGTTTAGGGTCGGATGGCTTTAGTGTGGGATTCAGCATGGGCGAAACCTCCGAATGGTATTTCGTCAATCATCTATCTCTGCTAAGTCCCTGTGCCTTCACCCTGAAAGCCCTCAACCCTAAGCCCTTGAGGAGATGTAAGGCACAGAAACCCCAAGAACTGCAAACGCTGTGCCCTAAATTAAACCTCAACCCAGCTGTTACATAGCCTCCAACGTGTTTCCTCTTGGGGTAAGGTTCCTACAAGCAAAGAAGGTAACCCAGAAAAGCAACGACCATGACGATTATGTAAGGTTCGGGGGATTGAGATGCAAGTCCCGGACTTTTGCTTTGACATCTCCGCACTTCTAAACCTGAGTTTTGGACATGCCGAGCAAAGCAAGTCCAGGGACTAGGGTTTAGGGTTTAGGGTTTAAGGTTTAGTGTTTTGGGTTTTGGGTTTAGGGTCAGAACGAAACTCACAGCGTTACGCTTCCAGGGGTTCAGCCTTCTTTGCGTCGTATCGAGCCAGCCACATGACCAATCTGAGTGTCTTTGCTTCCATGTTGTAGGATAGGGATGCATCGGATGCATCCTACTTCACACCAAGTGCCCTACACGAAGACGCACGCTATGTAGTGCGGCAGCAGGGGTTTCCAAACCCAGCTTTTGGCAAAGTAACAGCGATGGCAAGAGCCAAGTAGCAATGGAAGACGCAAGGCGCACCTAGACCTAAACGGCTCCTTCACTATCGGCGTCTTCTGTTGGCATCATTCCCCTCAAAAGCCTTACGCCCCGCACTTTCAGGGAACCCTAAACCCTAAACCCTAAACCCTAAACCCCAAACCCTAACCTAAACCCTAAACCCTAAACCCTAAATATAGCTCAAGGGCTTGCACAGGCTTGGGACTGTGGCCAGGCTCGGGAATTGACCTTTTGGAGTTTACCTTTACTGGGTTCTTGTTTAGGGTTTAGGGTGATGCGTTTTGGGATTTGGGGTTGACAGGGTTGGGTTTTAGGGTTTAGGGCTTAGGGGTATAGGGCTTGGTGTTTAAAGGGTTTGGCTTTGAGATGTTATGTGGGTTTTGGGATCCGGGTGCGGTGCGTCAGCCTCGAGTGGCACAGGATTTACGGTTTATAGGGTTTAGGGTTTAGGGTTTAGGGTTACGGTTGAAGGTTGAGGGTTTGTAGAGCTTAGGGTTTGGATGAGGATGTTTTCGATCTGCCCTGTTGCCTTGCCAATGTGAAAAGGACACAACATATGGGTGGTTGTCAAAATTATGGTCCCTTTTTGGGTCCTTATTTTAATACGACCCCAAAAGGGACCATAATTTTGACAACCACCCATATGCACCAACATGCTAAACTGAGCATGTTAATATAGGGACCTCGATACCATTCTGGGGGCTCCTCATTATAATCCACCGAAGGCCCTAAACTGAACATGTCCTGAGTATTTTGCTTCCAGGATGTTCCTCTGCCATTTCTTGAAGCTCTGGAGAAAGTTTGGCTCCTGCGGCAGGCCCCGGGGGACGAGCACCAGTTAAACGCAATGAATTGGCAGCAGATAGTTGGTTGATGTCTTGCTTCACGGGTGTAGTGATTCAATTTGGTGGTCCAGGTGGTTCTGGACGCAGGATGGAGGGTTGTTCGGAAATTGTGCTTTGCTGTCCCTGATGGATGTTTGTTGTTGTTGCGGGTTGGTGGGTTTAGGGTCGGGCGGTTTTCAGCTTAGTGTGTGGCTCCTGCATCCCACAACAACCCTAAACCGTAACACAGGGGCGTTAATAATTACTTATAATATCTTGGGGAGTCCTTACTCTAATTATAGTATAATGGGCCCCAAAACCCTATTCTAGTTATTAAGGCCCCTACATTATATAAGGTCCGTGTAACCATATTGCATTGCGTTTGGAATCTTGGACCCTGCAGTGCCTCACCCGTCTACGGCCTAAGTTTATACCAACTTGGCTCACCTGACTTGAGGCCACAGAAAACCGACTTCTGTGGGGCTCCATGACGTAAGGATCCAACTAGCCAAGGTTGATTCTCTCAGGCTTATCATCGCTAACCCTAATCCCTAAACCGCCGGAGGTGGATTACCTTCACGGCGACAAGGCGATGTTCTACAACTGGGACGAGTCGCGCTTTCAGGAGCAAAGCTTGCAAGGATGCTGCGGCTTAAGTGAGATCGACCTATCTATCTATCTATCTATCTATCTGTCTATCTATCTATCTATCTATCTATCTATCTTTCTATCTAGCTATCTGCCTATCTATCCGTATTTCTGTCTATCGATCTATCCATCTACCTATCTGTCTATTTATCTATCTATCTGTCTGGCTGTTTATCTATCTATCTATCTATCGATCTATCTATCTATCTATCTATCTATCTACCTATCTATGTGTCTGTCTATCTATCTTTCCATCTATCCATCTATCTATCTATGCATGTGATTTATTTGAAGCTGTCTCCCGATGCAACTTCTGTACTATAAGGACGACATCTTGCACAAATGTAAAGGTTTGTCCCGTTCTGTGGGTATACTATACATTGATACATCAGGATGCATGCATGGCATATCCATCCGCCTGTTCATCCGTCAAGCCATACATCCCTACACCAGTTTTATGCATCCTTACATGCATGCATACACACGGGTGCATGCATAATTGAGTTTACATACACCCGCACATACGTACATACGTACATAAACCAACATACATGCGTAGATGCACACGTGCACATGCATGCATACATTCATATGCAAGTTCATACATACATACCTACCTACCTACCTACCTACCTACCTACCTACCTACCAACCTACCTACCTACCTACCTACCTACCTACCTACCTACCTACCTACCTACATCCATCCAT